GCAGCATTTTTCACAATACATGAAGGAACTGTTCATTTTTTGCTGCATTTCCTTAAGGCGACTTTACACAATCAATAATATTAATCAATAATATATACTGACAGTATGCATTAATATTTTTAGTACTTTTACAATCTTACACAATCAATATTATTAACAATATATTTCATTTTAGTTTTATGTACAATATATATTGTACATAAAACTGTAACTTACTGTGATCCTAATAAAGGAGGACATATTAGATGCTCAAAAATCAAAATCAAGATCATCGATAGTATTCTATTATCAATATTTACAACACATGATCAATAATATTGTCAGTATTTATTAATACTGTATTATTGACCATGTAGAGTCATCTTAAAGAATTATTTGTACTTGCCATAAACTTAATTTATGCCGTAAGTTATAAGAAATTAATCATTGACAGTCGAATGTGAGGAAATAATGATTTCATTCTCCTCACATTTAACTGTGATTGATCAATTTATTTTTATAACTTACAGCATAAGTTAACAGTTTACAACTAGTATAAATGATCCTTAATTAAGACAAAGATTATACTTGGCTACTGCTGAAGTTTTGCCAATACAGTACATAGCACACAATTTGTAAAATGTAATCTTGGCAGACTTGATTATCTGGGAATTAATAGTTCTCTGATAATTAGCATCCGCAGCTCAAAAATCAATAAAATTGGGCGACGTGTTTTTGCACGAAACGAAAAAATCTGGCAGAAAAGTGTCGCTTTGTCCCACAAATCAAGCGTTAAAGTTGATGACTATTCAGGTTAGAAAATTGATCATGCAATGTGAGCATGAAAAGTATGTATATGGAGTATGTTCCTCTACGGCGGAGAGGGACTTCATTCCGAAAAAAATTACCAACTCAACCCATATTTTGGTATAGGATGGATCTGATATATAAGATTACACATAACTTTACAACTTTCCAATACCGAAATATGAAATAGGTTATTTTTTTTTAAGTGGAGCCCATCCTCTCCCCACATAGGAGAACGTACTGTCGCTATATACATACTTTTCATGCTCATATTGCACTGTTCACTGTTGCATAGCTAACAAATTTCCTAACCTGAATAGTCGACAACTTTAATGCTTAATATCTCGGTTGGTGGGACAGAGCGACATTTTTTTCTGCCAAATTCTTTCGTTTCATACAAAAACGCATCGAATAAGCTCAATTTTATTAATTTTTGAACTGCAGATGGTAAACTATATAATTATCATAATCTAACATTCAACAAAAGTACCTGCATTTTCCGTAAATACATCTTGTCGATTTCTTCGACCATTTTCGTCATATGATCTTCAACTCGTTTTCTCTGTTCTTCCATTTTTCACTTTAAATATTTATTCTTTGATTATATTTGATTATATTTATAATACAGTATACCAAACACGCAAGATACATGTGAGATACACGAGTTGTTACAACAGGTTAATGGCCGCAACACAGACTTGTCACAATATATACTTCTTTTTCTTTGCGTGAGAATGGCCCCGACTCTAATACAGAGTCGATACGGCCAGAATTGAAAATGCCGCTTATGAGTAACAAAAAACAATATGAAGAATACGAAAAAGAGTAACATAAACCCAATTGCGCATTTGAAGCCGGTCACACTTTTCAAAAATGATGCAACAACACGTCCGACACGTCGGAACCTATCACAGTATGGATACGGTCAACGCGATGCTGCAAACGTTTTGAAGCGTTTTTCAATTGGTCAGTTTGTAAAATTCTTTCTTCTAATTAGTCCATCAAATGCTTCAAAGCATTTGTAGCGAGACTTTGATCGTAGCCTATGTACAATAATGCAACTCTCTATCAGTACTTTTGATGTTGCCCAAAATAGAGTGCGCATGCGTGAAATAAGTAAATTGCATAACGTTTACCACCTAAACTTTGAAATAAGTAAATTGCATAACGTTTACCACCTAAACTTCTTTCTCTTTTCATTTTTTTTCACTCTGCTAAAAGTCTTGCAAAACTCACTGAATTTATTCGCATCGCAATCCAACGAATTCGTTGAAGTGAGTAAGAGCTTTTGTAGGAGCATATTAGAGCACGCGACACGAATAAACATAATATTGTATTGAAATACTTCAAATTTTATGAAAATTAATAAAAATAAATCGTAAATATATTGAAAAATAAAGAAAAAATATAAAAAAATTAGGAAAAATATTAAATTAACTTGAAAATGTATATTTGTACAAAAAAATAATATGTAATTATATATCTATAAAAATATTAAGAAAGTTAATATAAAAGAAAATATAAATATATTCAAAAAATAAGTTTAAAATACAGTAAATAAAAAGGAATCTTTTTTGCTCAGTTTTCTATTGTTCACTTTTTTACAAAAATTAGATCAATCTCTCGAGGTTTCTCACACAACATTACACCAAATGGACAATACACGTAATATTTCCTTCTAAGAAAGGGAGACAGAAAGAGAGAACAAAATAGAGCATGAAAATAAGGAGAAATGAGATGAGGCAATTTACTTATTTCACGCATGCGTACTTCATTTTGACCAATACAAATCAGGAGAGTTGCACTACTGTATATACTATGCTTGCATAATACATAATACATAATGAATAATGCATAAATCTGGACCTACAATGGGTATTTTTAGGTATTAAGTCTTAAACAGGAAGCACAGACTTTTGCATAATGCATAACACATGAGGCATAAAAAAATGAACAATCAGAATTCTTTATTTCATGGAATAGAAAGAAACGAAGGACTGCGATTGGCATTTTCTTATGTATTACGTGTTATGCATTATGCAAGAGTCTTCCCAATTAAAGGTCGCAACACAGACATTTGCATAACGCGTAGTGCATAAATGAATTTTCACCAATCAAAATTTTTCTTTTTCTCCCATTTTAAGAAAAAAAAAATTTATAATCTTATATTTAAGGTTTCCTTAAATTTATCATCAAATATTCTACGAATAATTTCATTAGCCACTGAACATCTAAAGATAAATTTAAAGAAATCTTAAGTACAAGGTCTGATTATATAATAAATACGGATAGAAAACATTTATAGATTCGGACTAAATCCTTGCTTTTCAATAAAATAAAGGACTGATTGATTTTCTTATGCTTTATGCAAGATTATGTAAGATTAGCGACATAACGCACAGTTCTTAAGAGTATCAACTAATCCGGATTCTTTCTATCCTTCCAATTTGCGGAAAAGAACTTTAATTAGTTGATTCTTTTATGCACTGTGCGCTATGTGATATGAATCGAGTAATTCTGAAAAAACCAATCAAATTCTTTGATTGGACTGAACACAATAAGTGCACTTTTTAAAAAATCTCAGGTCTCATGTCAAACATATATTAAATAAAATTTTCGTAGATAAAATTTCCAATAATGAAGCTTTAAACTTAATTATGTTTTTAATTTAATCTTAAACCATGAACAATGAAAGAAATAGTCACCTTATGTTTCAATTTTGATAAAAATTTTGGTTTCGCAAGATTCTGGAAGAGTTCTATCTCTATGAATTGAGATGTCTGATAAGATTAGGCACAATAAGTGTACTCCATTTTCTTCCTTTTTTTTTAAGTACATCTCAGCTCATTCCATCAAGCATACATTAAATAACAACTTTGTTAATAAATTGATCAAAAATGAACTTTGAAATTAATAAATACTTTATATTCAAATTAATATTAAATCATAAATCATAAAGGAAATAGTGGCACAGTATAAGTACATACAATATGGACACTGGAGACAGTATCACATTTGATGTAGTGAGTCCCAAGTAATATGACTTGCTGCCATGTTGTGGATTGGAACGGCACTTATAAATTTGAGTTTTTATAAAGCTACAGAATGATTTAAAAAAAAAAACAATTCGGTCGTGATAAAAAAATTGTATATAACGAATATATTTTTAAATAAGAATTATAATATAATGTAAATGAACTCGTTATATAATAAAAATAATATTCAAATTAATAATAATAATATTAAACAGTAATAAATAAATTAAAAATAATAGATTAAATACTATATGAAAATTATAATTGAATAATTATATACGAAAAAATAATATTGGGTTGTCCGGAAAGTTCGTGCCGATTTTGAAGGAAAATTGAAACGCAGAAGATTTAAATTTTAGTATACATTTAATAAATTATATAGATTAATCAGACAATATATTGCATGAAAATTGTAATTAAATGTGAAGTTGTTAAATTTAATAATATACGTACACAAATGCAAACTTTATTACGAGAAAACTTTATCGTACACAAATATTTATAACAGTCTACATAATATAACGTCTTTAAAAAAAACTTGATTTAATTTTTTAGTAAAACATGTAGCACAATTGCCAAATATCGATTTATCGTCTCCAGCCTTGAAAAATAGACGATGTATTCTAAGAAAAGTGAACGTTGCTATGTAGATTACATCAACTTTGTCAGAGGATAATAGTGCGCAACAGCATTCTGCGGTTATAGACTTCGGGCAGTCATGTCCTCTTTCAGGGTTATCAGCTTCCAGGGGAATTTAAATAAAATTTTTTTTTGAGAAACGAGTCATGATCGACATTCATCCATTGGAATTTTTTTTTTAACGACATCCGTTCCGGAAGTGGCCATTTTTATCACGAACGGTTGGATCTAGAGGGTTATAGATTTCCAAGGAATTTTCGAAAAATTTTTTTTTTGATTTTCTAGAAGAACCTCTCTGGATCGGAGCTTATTTGTTGGAATTTTTGGTATACCTACTTCCGTTCCGGAAGTCGCATTTTCTCACGAACGGTTGGAGTTAGAGGAGGTTTAGTGAATGAGGAAATATTGTTGCATTTCAAAAGACGCATCGAATGCCGTTTGAAACATGTCTCTATCTCTTTTCGTTCAGGCAGTATACTCTTGAAAGGGAGTTTTGACGAAATTTTTCTAAGTTCCGATGAAATCGGAAAAATCGATAAAAATTCGATTATACCAATCGACTCAGAAGGTCGAAAAACGTACTTTGGACCCATAAATATGGGAAAAAAATTAAAAATTTTTTGAAAATTTTTGAGGGACTTCGTTTTTTTTGAAAATTTTTTTATTACTGATTCTAGAAGTACCGATCATAATCCGTGCTCATCCGTTGGAATTCATGGTCTACCTACTTCCCAACCGGAAGTCGCCATTTTCTCACGATCTGTTGGAGATAGTGGTTTGGTGTCTGAGGCAATGCAATTGCATTTAGAAAGACGCGTCGAACGCCGGTGAAAACATCCCTCTATCTCTTTTCGTTCAGGCTGTGTACTCTTGGAAGGGAGTGTTACGGCGAAACTTTTCTAAGTCCTAATGAAATCGGAAAAATCGATAAAAATTCGATTATACTAATGGACTCAGGAGGTCAAGAAACATACTTTGACCCATAAATTTGGGAGAATATTTTATGAAAATTTTTTGAAAATTTTTGGAGGACTTAGTTTTTGACGGAATTATCAAAAACTTTTTTATTATTGATTCCAGAAGTACCGATAATGATCCGTGCTCATCCGTTGGAATTTTTGGTCTACCTACTTCCGAACCGAAAGTCGCCATTTTTTCACGAACGATTGGAGACAGAGGTTCGATGTCTGAGACAATGTTGTTGTACTTTGGAATACGAGTAGAATGCCATTGGAATCTCTCTATCTCATTCCGTTGAGGATGTGTACTCTTGGACCGAAGGTCAGGAAACTTTTCCAAGTCCCACACCCCTCGAAAATCGCGAAAAAATGAGGATAACGAAAAAATCGCAACTACGACGGCTGTGTTAAAAAAGGGCTTGACAATTCGATTCGTTATTTCGCGCGAGGTGCCTCGTGTTCCTCATGGAGAGCTGAAAGAGATGATTAGTTGAAACGGGTCTGTTTTAAAGACAGTGATTCGCGCGAGGGTAGGTTAGGGTAGAGATTACGTTAGATTAATAAAGATTATAATTGAATAAAAAAAGATGAATATACATACATGATACATGCTTAGAAGAGATAAATGAATAAAGAACTTAAACTTTTTCCTCTGACTCGTCGTCTCGATACCGCTGTCGCTAGACTCTCTCTCGACGGCGAACTCGGTGGTGATAACGGCGGCTATTTCAGGGAACAGACACTGCTGCGGCGGTTCCTCGACGTATCCGATTCTTCGGATACGAATCTGTCCGTCGACGTGTGAGAGTCCCTTTTAGGAACGATAACTCGCGCGAGGGTGGGTAAGGTTAGAGGTTACGTTAGGGATAGATTAATAAAGATTATAATTGAAACGAATAAAAGGATGAATATACATACATGTATTTAAGAAAGATATATGAAAAAAGAAATGAAGCTTTCTCTGACTCGTCGTCTTGATGCCGTTGTCGTAATCGCTACACTCTCTCTCGACGGTGACAACGGTGGCGGTTAATCGATGCCGTCCGATTTTTCGGATACCGACATCCGATTCTTCGGATACCGACGTCTGCCTCTATGATTCATCATGTGGTAATAGTCGCGATTCATCGTGTGGTAATCGTCTCTATGATATTTCATGTGGTAATCGATTACTCGGGGGGTAACAGAGGATTGTAGGTAAGTGTATAGGTTAGGTTGGGTTGGGTTGGGATGGGATGGGTTAGGTTGGGTAAGGTTAGGTTGGGTTGGGTTGGGATGGGTTGGGTTAGGTTGGGTAAGGTTAGGTTAGGTTTAGGTTAGGTTAGGTTAGGTTAGGTTAGGTTAGGTTAGGTTAGGTTAG